TGTATTTAAAGCACATTAATAAAATAAACAAAAATCACCATTAGATTCATAGGATTGTTTTGTGTGATCAGAAAATATTCATGAATAATCTCTCTCTATTTCACCCTGAGGTTAAAACAACACCCCCCTCTGCAGGTAATAATATAATATAATATAATACAATATAATATAATATGACGTAATATGATGTAATATGATATTAATAAGCTGTCGTCCGCAGGTCGCGCGTCTCACAGGTTTTCTCTGGATCTGGACTCGCAGGATGTGGACAGGTACTGACCGCTCTTCCTCTGATCTACAGCTGCTCTTCCTCGGTGTGTGCTGATGTGTGTGTGTGTGTGTGTGTGTGTGTCCGCAGTGCCTTTGAGAGCGACAGCAGCTCGTCCGGTAAGAACTGAAGCACTTTCTCTCGGCTGAGATCGACAGACGCTCAAACACTCTCGTTCGTTACAGAATCTCACGCCAGGAAAACACAACATCACGAGTGGCCGCCGGCGAGAGGAGAAGCTCACGGCAGCTTTACCAGCCACAGCAAACCTGCGCAGGTGTGTGTGTGTGTGTGTGGCACTCTAATCTCCTCAATCGTTTGTGCTGCTTCGGTTTTTAGATATTAAAATAATAATAATAATAATGCTGCATCTGATTTAAAAATATGACATTAACCCCTTAGCTGTCACCCCCCTTTTTGAGAATGGGGGTTAAAATGCACTATTCAAACTTAAATGGTTGTAATTTAAGAATGCTATGGAATACCCAAGTTTGGTCTTGTTTTAAATAAAACACTCAGCAGAATATTGCTGAAGTGAAAACACTTCAAAAAAATGAAAGTATGAAAAAGTTATGGAAGTTTAAATTTACAGTAAATTAAATATATTGTACTATATATTTTTTATTTTATATAAAATATATATTTTATACAATATTTTTTACTCTAAAATTTCTATAAAATCAAAGCCATACATCTTATCAAGTTATGTTCCAAATTTGAAGTTGATATCACAAAAATTGAAGTTCCCATGAGATTTTTTTAGGCGTAGTACCAAAAATAGCCACCGGGTGCCATTGAATTCCATTGAATTTAGTTGTAAACATTCTGCCTTAACAAATTAATACATTTCTGTCCAAATATCAATTCTGTCACAAAATTTGGAACCTTGAGACTCTGACCTTTCTGACAATATCAGTTTTGTCAAGATTAGAAAAGGTTTTGATCATAAATTATGAAATATAATGATGCCCAAAAGGGGAGGAGCCTGATAAAATAAGTACCGTTTCTATGGTAACGTAACTTTTAATTATAAAACAGTTTTCACACGATGAATTCTGAGTTTATAAGCTTTCAAATGATACCTAATTTATGATAACTACTAAAATATGTGATATAATAAAAAAGGCGATAATAAATAATATTATATTTTAGAGGATAATAAATATAAATATAATGATTTTTAGAGGATAATATTGTAAAATAATTGTTTTATTTTTTATTGAAAAATACTAGATTATATGTTTATTATGAACTTTTAGCCTAAAAACAGAAGTTTCAATGATTAAAAGTGGGTAAAGCGACTTTTTGTGACAAAGGTCAAAACTCCTGTTATGATGCAGATTTTTTTGAGGTGCACTCTTGTCATAAATTCATCAATTACTCTTCCTACATAATTTTAGAATATCTATTTAGAAGTCTTAGACCTTTCCAACAATATATAATTTGTCATAAGTAGATTAAAGTAAAGTTAGGCGTCCCGGTACCGAGATGGTGACAGTTAGGGGGTTAAATCAAATTATAAATGTTATTTAAAAGATCAAAAATAGTTAGTGATGGTCACTCTGTCTATTTTCATATGAAGTCATGCGAATAAAGATGATTTAATAGAACATCAGTGTTGTGTAGTGCCTGTATCGTTTATTAAAGACTTCATGGTGTTCAGTCATTGATATTGTGATTCAGATTTGATTTCTTACCGCACAATCCAGATCCAATCCACAATCAGCACAAAAGACTATTCTGGGTGAATGTGATCATGTGGAGTGACCTCAGAATGACCTAAAAATATTCTTTTAATATCTAACAAACCGAAGCAGCTCAAACTAAACGTTTCACAGCACAAACGATTGACGAAGTTTAGCGTCGGGTTAGGGGATGATGTCATTAATCGTTAAGTTAAACAAAAACAAAAGCCTGCAATAACATGCATCAACAACAAACAGTACACGGCCTGTGTGTGTGTGTGTGTGTGTCCCACAGGGGCTGGCGGAGCAGAACTGGTATGTCGGGTCGGTCAGTCGAGTGGAGGCCGAACACGCTCTTCATCTCGTCAACCGGGTAAAACACACACACACCTGATGAGCAGAAACGTGTGTCTGTTTGTGTGTGTGTGTGTAGATACTGAGACTGTTGTCCGTAGGAAGGAGCTTTTCTAGTGCGCGACTGCTCTAAGAACACTACCCATGAGCCCCTGGTCCTCGGCGTGTTTTACGACAAGCGGGTTTTTAACATCCAGATCCGCTTCAGCGAGGACATCTGCAAATACACTCTGGGAACGGGCCTCCGAACCAACGACGTGAGTATCCGCCAGCGCAGCGCTACGCTAGCCTGAGCCGGCCGTCATCTCTCGCGCCTCCTGTCTTTCAGAGGTTCGACTCGGTCACCGACATCATCAAGTTCCACTCCATCTTCCCCATCGTCCTCATCGACGGACGCAAGACTTCCTCAGCGGCCAATCAGAAGAGGCAGTGTGTCCTGATGTACCCCGTCACGAAGCAGGATCTGGCGGAGCTACTGGACTGAGCAAACACAAGCAACATCTACAGGACTTCAACTGACCTTTGACCTTAACAAGAGCTCATTTGCATGTTAGTCAATTACAAAAAAAACATGCTAATGCGCTAATCGACAGAAATAACCGCGCTTGCATTTTAATGCATTATAAGGTTTGCATTGTGACTGTAGATACACAACCATCAGTCTGAGAACACAAGCTCATTCATTGGGCAGTGTGTGTGTGTGTGTGTGTAGTATATGAAGGACTAAACACACCCTTACCTGTGTGTGAGCTGCGGTCGGTCGCACGGGAAGAGGCGTACACCGGATTAGGACTGGCTGAATGCAGACGCACACAACAACTGCTTTTACATTTGCTTTAATCCATTTCAGGTTTCATTTCATCCCACTTTACAGTGTTTAGCCTTTATGAATAATTTAAAAATAGATATAGCGCTCGTGAAGCCTTGGAACGATAAACAGCACATAAAACTCTTGACATATTTAGTTGCTTCTTGGACAGTTTGCTGTAACTTTACATAACTTGAACAGTAATAAAAGAAAACGGACAGTTTACTGGTTTGATCATTTGAGGTAGATTAAAAAAGTGTTTTAAGAAGTTAAACAAGACTTTAATGAGTACATCCTACAAAAGGAACACACTACAGCAGTGCACTGAAATACTGGGACGATATACGCAAACACTGTTTAAATATTGGTTTGCAAAAACACTTACTAAACGTCACATGTTTGGATTTCACAACAAAGGCCCGGTTTCACAGACAGGGTTTAGGTTAAGCCAGGATTAGTTAAATTAGGACATTTAAGAAGCTTTTATAAACGTGCCTTTAGAAAAAAAAAAAACATCTTGAGACAAAACAGTAGCACTTATTATTTTAAGAGTCGCCTTCAGTTAAAACGAACATGCATTTAGTCTGGGACTAGATTAAGCCTTGTCTGTGACACTGGGGGAAAGTGTGCCGGAGCATTGTGGATTAAACCAAACCTCACCCATGATTCACTGCACACCTGTGAGACTCCAAACATGTGACGTACACAAACGTGAGTTGTATTTAAAATGAGCCTGTACAATCATGAACACACCACATCCTAAAACAGACATTAGTGTCGGTTAAACCTCTGCGTGTCCGTTATAGCATCCACAGATTGGCACAGTTCAGTTTTACAGAAGAAGCTGAATGAAGGTGTTCGTCATTGCAGCCGTCGAGTGGGACCGGGTAAGCAATGCTGGAAGAGTCATAGAGTAGCTCCAATATGTTAGTTCATGAAATGTTTATCGGTGTATTAATACTAAGGTTATGATCTCACACAGGGTCAGGTTTCTCTACAACTGCACCGTTATAAAAATCTGATACCAACATGAAATATGTTTACAAGGGGAAGTTTATAAGACGTGTTGATCCGAGAGTCCGTTGAGGACCAACTCCACAACCTGATAGTTCTCTCCGTGAACTTTCTTGAGTTTCATCTTGAGCGAAGGCTGCTTCTGCGCAGGTCGTTCCCGCTCGTGATCCGTCGAGCGTACCCACTTAAAGTCCTTCAGCGTTTGGACGCCGACATTGAATGTTTTATTTGAAGGACTCGGATGGTTCAGGACCACAACCGGCTGGTTCGGACCGGGAATCCTGACGAGCTGATCCGCTTTCAGAGGAGTTAACCTCAGTTCTCTTTGACCTTTCGATGGGAGACGGGGAAGGCCCATCTCGACCGACGACGATGACCGACGTTTTTTGGCTTTTCTCTTTTCCTTTTTATGTTTTTTACGCGGCGGCGAGTCTCGGTCTTGGCTCTTCTCTTGACTTTCCCGAAAGTCTCTCTTTAGTATCAGCTTGATGGCCACTGAAGGGCCACCGGACAAGTTCTCCTCACTCAACATGCAGCAGAGAACCGGTCGTGCCGTCAAACTCTCCTCTCGCACTGGCGCCTCGGGAAGCTTCTTCGAGGCTTCCAACAAAGAACTCGGGATCCTCACCAAAGCTACTTTCGGATACATGAGACGTTGTTGTTGGCAATCCAAGTTCCTTCCAGACTCGCATTCAAAATTTCCCTTGTCTTGATGCGAAACGTTGGCCTTGTCTGATGGGACGATGCTCTGGTTTGGTTGAGCCACGGTCAGATTTGGAGCTTGTTTTAAATGACTTGTTTTTCCAGCTGGTGTTTTCCCTCGTCTACAAGTCTTTGCTATTGTAGAGCCTTCAGTATTCTCAACCTCTGTCTTAGTCTCTTTGAGGCACACAGAAGCATCTTTGTGTTTCTCCTCAAGTTCCTCCTCCTTTTTAATCAGAAAACTACAGACCACCGATTGCTTTGCACTACCCACGTTGTCCTTTGCTTCCTTGCTTTTGGTCGAAGTAGGTGTAGGACAGAGAGAGAAAACCGACGAGATCACGGGAAGGCCTCCAGAACTCAACTCTGGGCCCTCGAGAGCGGCGGCGTCACGAGCCACCGCTGATCGCTTGCTCCCGGGATCTTTGGGCTTCAGGCTGAGCTTCTTCCTCGCTGGTGTCTCTGAAGAACACTGTGGTTTGTGTACTGAATTAACTCTCTTTGTGGTTCTCTGGACATCAGTGGATGATGACGGCTCCTGCTCTTTGACCTTGTGAGATGTTGAAGATGTGGACGGGTTGACTGGACACCCTTTGGCAGTCGCAGCAACTTGACATTTAAAGGATAATTTGCCTCCAGTAGCAACTGGTGAAGGTCTTTCCTCAGTCTTCTGGCCTTGCGGGACTCCATTCGGCGGGATCAACCGTAGCTCCAGCTCCCGAGTCCCATTGACATTTTTCACTTCAACCAATTCCACCAAACACCCAGCAGGGATATTGATCTCCTCTGGACAGGACACTGTCAAAGGCTTGTTGTGTTGAATTGGCTGGTTCAGCGGTGCTAACAGTTCCACTTGGACGCTGGATAACGGATTTGATGTCTCGGCTGATGATCCTACAAGTATCCTGGAGTTTGTCTTTGACTGATTGCTCTTTTCGACAGTGGAGTGCTGTGGACTTATGATCGAACCACTGGGATTTGTACTCGTTTTCAGCATCGTAACATTAATCCCTGTTGTGGACTGACTAGCCCTCTGATCCATTGGGACATTTGGAACATTCCTCTTGGACAAGGGCATGTTAAGCAGCGTTCTGAGCGGGGTGTTCATTTCACCAGGCAGTGGGAACCGCACTCTGCGAGGGGTTTGTGAAAGCACAGTCTTTTCAGGGACTCTCGGGCTCTGCGGTAGTGGTGCTGTATAACTATCCTGGACTCTGGAGAATGTGACTTTCGGAATAGGCTTTTCCAAAGTGGTTCTTTGACCAGCCACCTTACTTTGACCATGGACACTGAGCAGGGGGTTTGATAGGTTGCCGTTTTCCTCCCGTGACCTTAGAACCACGTGAGGCGCGTTGCCTAACGAGTGACTTGCGCTTGAAGTGCAGCTGGGAGTAGCACTGGTGAACTGTGTCTTAGAAACCGGAATTGTGTTGGTGACACTTGGCGTTGGCAAACTGAAGGTCACACGTGCACGACTACCGCTAGTTTGGCTCACTGCTCGACCAATAGCACATGATTTGTTGCCTCTGGGTTGACTTCCACTCGGATGTTCGACTTGGGAATTGGGAATTGCACACTGGCCGTTCCCTTCAGGCCAACCCGACATCCCGAGAGTTTCAGGGACGGCTGGCGTGGGTACAGTAAAATCCGTTATGAAGCCTTCTTCTGCGTTCTTCTTGTGTATACGAAGAATATGTTTGACCAAGTAGTCCCTCCGCACCGCTCCGTACGAGCAGAAGCTACAGCGGTACGGGTATGAGCCCGTGTGTGAGACGACGTGTTTCTGAGACTCGGTTTTAGAGTAGGAAACATAACTGCAGAGAGCACAGGAGAACGTGACCTCTTTATGATGGGAAACGTGCCTCTCAAACAGGTCAGTGTCCTTTGTTGAAAATCGGCATTTTGCACAGCACAGGCGATCGATGTCTTTTTTAGGTAAAGCACTCTCCTTGTTGCTCATGAATGCCATGAAACTTTGTTGTGAGCGCATGGTCAACACATCAGGTTAACAATCCCACAAATATTACAGCAAATAAACAATCCACACTGGCTGTTTCTTCACAAGTAACGATCACGTTCTTTAAGCTGAGGTTGAAGATACGCTGTTAGTTTGTACCTGCATAATGGGGAAAAAAAGAGTGTTTTAGAAATACATTTCATAAAGTATCAATAAACAACAACTGATTAGTAAAACAATCTTTTATTGGTTATCTTGTACAAAAACACTTCTGTAGAGATGTAAAGGCACTGAAATACTCAAGGCGGAGTTATTTTTCGTTGTTTGCTTGGGGGTGAAAATATCTAGCGATATGGATGTAATTTGGTACTCCTGTCAAGTTACGGTTATTTAATACACCACTTTATCCAATAGAAGATTACTTTAAAGTAGCAGCTTTTCAGTATTAAACATCCATCAGTGTTGCTTCCAGTGAGAATTACAATTTCAGTTTCTACTTTAAAACGGCTCTCCACTGTTACCTGAGGACGTCTGAACGCGAAGAAATGAACCGGAGAAGGTTTACAAGAAGTATTATCAGTTGATACACAACAAAGAAGGCGGAGCCTCTGAGACACACCCACCTATTAAGTAATCGCCACGGACCAATGGTAGTTTAAGGTGTTTACCAGCCAAAGTGAACATTTTAGGAAAACCCTAAAGCGAAAACCCCTTAACCAAACCTCAACTGGCGGATGACCATCAAGTAGGGTGTGCCAGGATTTATGGGTAATAATCTGACAGTGTCAGGACATGGTCTATAACGTCCAGTTTTATGGTCTACATGTCAAACTCTAACACTACCACAATTTAACTTTTTCAAAATGAGATTTTCATAATGTTCGAATCTTTAGTGTAGCATTTCTTTGTTCTCCAATTTGTGCAGATGAGTTGCATTCATCACATCATAAAGTTTCATTTTTGTAGTTTTTTGGCTAAAAACTGTTCTTCACTAAATTTGCTGAACAATAGTGACTAGATGAATCTTTGATATTTAAAACTGTTCACTAATGACAAAATCATGTGTTTAACCATTATTACTTTATGCAATCATTTTATATACAAATCCAATGTGTAAGTGACGTTTTGACTGACTGTAAATCAGATGAAATAAGACATTTCAAAGATATAGTCGTACCAATGCTGCAAGATTACAGTCAATGTTCTTTAATTTGATTAAATGAGTGTCAGTTTCTAGTTAAAATCACAAACACAATTGAACTACAACTTACAAATACAAACTACATTTTTTAATGTGTAGAGCAATCAATCAAATAAATCACTTGGAGCTTTCTGTTAAATGTTTATTTTCTAAACACTATAAAAAGCACACAAGCACGTTTGATAAATAATAACTCGTGCAATTTCTGAGAAAAATTAGTCATGTTTTTCTCAAAAGAAGAAGCACATTATTTAAGAGGGCTGTGTGCTTTTAAAATGCATTCATAAAGCCACAAGCATGGGCATAGAGCATCTAAGGGTTCTGCTCTCAGAAGAAAAAGAGGAGGGGGAGACTGGATGAACGGCACCCATGAAATCCTCGTTTCCCATAAGGCTATGTAAACAAAACGAGCAATCACGCATTTCTTGCGTGCCTAAGTGTTGCGTGTGCTCGTCATGAGCCCAACCCCGCACGCGGCCGCTATGACGCGCGTGCACCAGGCGAAAAACAACAATGCGTTTAGACACTAACCTTGCGTTAAAACCCACTTCTTCTTCTCAAAAGAGCGACCGGAGCGTTAAATGCGTCCATTGCTCGATGTTTTCTTGGCAGCGGCGCATGCATTGTTTGCTTTCCACCACGGTGACCGCGCAGATTGTGAGTGAGGGTGCGCGTGCACTGACTGAGCACGTGACGCGACGCGAGCCTCTGATTGGCTGCTGGCTGCAGTAGAGCTCTACAGCTCACGCGGGCACCCGCATGTCTCAATGAGCCAGCACACGCGTTTGGCTAAAAAAAAAACGTGTTTCCTCGCTCTTTCGGCGATTTATCAAAGAACACGGATCTCAGAGCATTTGTTCTCTTCAAGTTCAGTCTGGTTTACTCAGTAGATTCATCAGTAATGAATTTGCACGACTTTTCCGGTTGCATAACATCAACCAAGATGGCGTTCGTGACAGGAAAAAAGACAGGAAGACTGTTATGGGTGATAGCATCTCAAATTCACAAGTATTCCAGTTTTCAGAACAAACTTGAGATCTTCTGATGGTTATAATATTACATGCTGGTCCGTAGTAATACACACACACACACACACACACACATATATATACCCAGATAGCAGACTGACATTGAATCAACGTGGAAATATGACATTGAAACAACGTTGATCTGACATTGTTTTGCTCATCGAATTAACGTTGAACCAACGTCAGACGCGTCATTCTTTCAAAACTAACGGAAAATCAACTTGAAATCAACGCGTTGTTTCAACGTTATGAAAGCAAACCAATTTTCGATTTTCATTTAGCTTTGAAGAATGCCGCGTCTGACGTTGGTTCAACGCTTATTCGATGAGCAAAATCAACGTTGTTTCAATTTCATGAGAGACGTCATTTCCACGTTGATTCAATGTCAGTTTGCTGTCTGGGTATATATATACACACACATACTGTATACACACATATTCTTCTTCTTTTAGTTGAATGGCGGATCACAAACCAACACATACACACACACACACATTGTTTAACCGCGGCGCGCACATAATTTTTTAATCGAAATCGCTTTCCAATCGCTAGCGCTAGGACTCTGCTCTGATGACGTGTTTACAGGCGTGAGGGCGTGGCAACCTATTACTCAAGTGATCCATCAATAGCAAACCACACCCATCAATTGACTTTATGCACAGATACACTACTTCCTGAACTTAAGCCAGCTCCCTTGTTTCCTGTCTGTCATTATTGGCCAAGCTTGATTAATTCAGGTGTGTCTGATTATTGTTGCCGTGACTACTGAGGTCAGGCACACCTGAACTAATCAATTTGGCCAATAATGGCAGACAGGAAACAAGGGAGCTGGCATAAGTTCAAGAAGTAGTGCAGTTGTGCATAAAGTCAATTGCCCTATTTGTTCTTGTTCCAGATGTCAGATGTGGGTTTAAATTTCTGCATTAAATCATCTTTATTTCAGCTACATGACACAGATGAGAGTAAAGATGACTCCAGCCTGCTAAAATAAACTAAAAGACTCACATGCTCAAACACCATTTCCTTTTTATTGCAATGATTCATAATTTACAGTCAAATCACCTTTATTTATATAGCTTTTACAATAAAGAGTGTTTCAAAGCAGATTTACAGAGATAAAACAATGCAACAAAGTTTCCAATTTTCATATGTAAGAACCATATACAATCAGCATGTGTGTGTTCAAGGAGCGAAGTTGTGTATTTTGAAATAAGGATCAGATGAATGTATACGTGGACAAAAACAAAATAGATTTTTAAGGGAGGGTTGCAACCAAATAATATAGTAAGCACCGTATCTTAAAAGGATAGACCCTTTATATATTATCTTTAGGTAAATATACCATTCATTTTAATGGTTTGTGATCATCACGCATTTTCTCCCGTTACACGTCACTTCCTACGGGCGTGTGCGCGCAGCTCTGGTCGAGCCCAAACCATCTTTACCATATATGGGCAAAGCCGAGCCGTGCGCGCGCCGCCGCCTCTTCCGCGTTCAGTGACGGAAGTGCTCTGATCCGGACGGACCCAAACACACTCGCTTATTCATTCAATCATTCAATCTTTCGTTCACCGGAGGGAAATAAAGCCGATATGTCTTACGAGCTGAGTGAGTTATAGTCTTTGTCTGTCTGCTCACTGCGCGTGCGTTTGTGTCTGTGTATGTGTGTGTGAATGTGAGTGTGTGTTACTGGCCTGTTTTACTCTGCTGAATATCCATGTAACGTTACCATGTTTCTCCAACGAATACCATGGTAATACCATTACGCGTGTCCAGAAACGTGTTATTGTAACGGGAGGTTATTTTGTGGACGTGTCTGAAGTGCTGCAGTTTAAACTGTGTATATTTATCTAACTATGCAGAGGTGAATGTAATTCTATGATCTATATATCTGCCTGAAGAGTCTTAAACTGTGATTCCAAACACTGATTTTTGTGTTGGTTTTGAGAATCATCATCAGCCTGACACCGAGTCAACCAATGACGTGTGTTTGAGGCGGGACTATCTGTCTGGCTGACCAATGGCAGACGGGGTGTGTTTGAAAACTGTCGTTATTTTTGCAGTTCAAAACATTAAGAACTTTTAACTGTCACTTTAACTGAAGTTTTAACTGCCACACAGTGAAATGCGTTAACTCAGACCTGAAATTGGTTTCTTTGAAGAAGTGAAAGCGCTTATAAACATAAAAGTGTAAAAACGTTTAAAGTCCCCCTATGGTGAAAATTATGTTGTTTGTGTAGTGTTTTTAATATGAATTTACAGTAACATTTATTTTCATGGTTTGTCTTGACGCATAAGTCAACAGCATTGCTTAGTATTTTCTTCTTAAAAAAACTAGTCTAAAAAAAAAATCGCTGTTTTTTTCTGACGTCACACACTATATTATAACCAATCAGATCAACCAGTGTATCTCTGAGCTGCTGTGAGTGAGTGGAGGCGGGGCTCTTCGGCATATTCATAGTGTCGAGTTACATTCAAGATATTGATATAAGGCATGAAGAATTTTTTTATAGGGAAAAATGCACTCTAAAAATTGCTAGAACTCAAAGCTGTTAGTCTACCCAAATTTGAAGTTGATATCACAAAAAATTGATCCTCTTAAAAGAGTTTAAGGTACAGTTTCCATGATAGCGCAACATCCAATTTCAAAACGGTTTTCACAGGATGAATTTTGAGTGTTTACACTTATGAATAATCCCTAATTTATGACGATTACTAATTAAATTATGTGAATTGGGTGGGTAAAGCCAATAAAAAAACGCAAAGTGTCTCGCTACTGGGAAACGGAGAGGTAACAGGCTACAAGTAAAAGTCTTATTTTCTAATTTAAGAAACCAAACGATATCGTCGGATGCTAATATAGTTATATTTATGGTTATTGTTCTTGGTGTGATTTATTGTCGATCGATACAATTTTTCCGGATTTGTTTTATAACACTAAAATAAGTTAAGATCAAGAAGCTATGAGATCAAGCTATGATTGAAGTACTTAAATTGCACTGAGAATGTATTACCGACCGTATGTTCCTGTCCGGCAGAGCGCGTGTTTGCCAGCCTGCCCCACATGGAAAGGGGCGTGGCCAAAGTCCTGGGCGGAGACCCCAAGGGGAACAACTTCCTGTACACCAACGGCAAGAGTGTGATCATCAGGGACATCGAGGTAAGGCCGGCATGTTGTGAGTCAGTCAGGAATACAGCGATATGGCGATTCAACGAATTACTTTTTTTAAACTCTACTTTTACAAAATTATGAATAAAGAATGCGCATCAGGTGTGTTCAGGTTTTTAATTATGTTTTAATTATGTAATCCTACTGTACTTATTTTGTTCATGCAACTTAATTTCATTGTAAATTGGAAAAAGTCATTATTTCAACTGCATATATATTGTGTCTGCCATATTTAAACTTAAAGAAATTTCCAGTTTTCTGACGCGTAAATACGACATTGTGGTGGTGCTGGTGATCATGTGTGATCAACTTGTAAATGCGATCTTTATGAAATTATTTGAACCCACCATATGTTTTCTACAATTTTTTAAAAACTTTTAACACTATTTAATTTATAAAGGCTCTGTAAATAGCTTTTGTAGTACTTGCATGTATGTGTGGAAGATACCATATTTAACATGAGCTGAAGTCTTGGGGCTGTTTGTTTTTTACAAAGGAAGTTAATTTTGTGTGGTAAACAATCACATTTTTTTATCACTTGCTGTGAACTAACAAAAAATGGATATGAACAAATATGTACACTGTTATTTATAAATATTTACAAAACTTTTCCAATGTGCTCATTTTTTGGTCAAAAAAGTCTTTAATAACTCTGTCCTGCAGAACCCTGCGATCGCAGACGTCTACACCGAACACCCGCATCCGGTGATCGTGGCGAAATACTCTCCCAGCGGATTCTACATCGCGTCCGGCGGTGAGTGGCGTGCCGTCTGATCTCCGTCGCGCCGTATTAGCGGCTCGTAACCGTGTGCTTCCTCTCTCCCGCGCAGACGTGTCGGGGAAAATCCGCATCTGGGACACGACGCAGAAGGAGCATCTGCTGAAGTACGAGTACCAGCCGTTCGGAGGGAAGATCAAGGACATCGCCTGGACCGAAGACAGCAAGAGAGTGGCCGTGGTGGGGGAGGGGCGAGAGAAGTGAGTGACAGTTGCAGGCCATGCCCCTAAGTCCCAGTGCTGAGCGGTTTACTGGTTCATACCGAATACCAGTTTGTAATATACAGCAAAACCGGTGCATGTTGCTTAAAGGTGCAGTGTGTAATGTTTAGCAGCATCTAGTGGTGAGGTTGTGAATTGCACCCAACAGAAGTTACGGTGGCCGACAGGAAGTGATGTTTTCGTCTGAGACAGTAGAGAGAATTTAGGTTTAATTGATTATTCAGTAAAACGATGTTATTGTGGATATTGTTGCTTGTTTATCAGTGTTTTACTCGCTGACTTCAGCAGCTTCTGATCATGAACAACGTAGTGACGAAACATATTGTGTGTGTGCGCAGGTTCGGCGCGGTGTTCCTGTGGGATTCGGGCTCGTCTGTCGGAGAGATCGTGGGTCACAGTAAGATCATCAACAGCGTTGACATTAAACAGACGAGGCCGTATCGTTTGGTCACGGGCAGCGACGACAACTGCACCACCTTCCTCGAGGGCCCGCCCTTCAAGTTCAAGTGCACCATGAGCGTAAGTCACGCTCATTTATTCTGTGATGGTGACATATTACGCCCCTTTTCAACAGATGTAATATAAATCTATGGCGTCCCCAGAATGTGTGTGTGAATGTGTCCCCAGATCATTTATTATATATGGTCAAATTTGCCCCTCTTCGGGTGTGAGCAGAAACACACCGTTTTTGTGTGTGTCGCTTTAAATGCAAATGAGCTTTAGCGCCGCCTCCAAACAGAAGAGGGCGGAGCTTCAGAGACTCCGGCAATAACAACACAGGCGGATCTGACTGATCCAGGATCAGGAGTAACAGCAGCTTTAGCTCCGCCTTCCGGAGAGACTCAGCGAGAGCTTCTGAATGTTAGCGGAGACGTTTGTGTAGTTGTTGTGGAGTTACACTGATCATCTCATCATCATGTTCAACTCTTCCACAAGTGTCCACAGTTCCTGACACAGTGTTTATAAGACAGCACTGGTCACATGTTCTGCTCAGTGAAGAACTGGGCTCTGTTGACACTCGCGAACCCAATGTGTGTGTGTGTGTGTGTGTGTGTGAACGTGCAGATTAAGGGCAGGAATGTTATAACAAGATCTTACGATAAGATTATAAAAAAAATATGTTTTGTCATGCTGTCAGAGAAAGACTCACCAGAACAGAGTCACTGGGTTTCACTTCTCTCGTGTTTTGTGTCGGCCGATTACAGCTCTCTCACACACACACACACACACACACACACAGGAAAGCAGACTCTCGTGTATAAAATAAGCTAAAACAGCGAGTGAGGCGAGTCTTCTTCCCCAATCCTGTCCTGAGAATTAAATGTTATACAAAATAATTAAATTTAATGACTTAATTCTGTTGTTTGTGTCAGTGCAAGCTTACTCAAAGTCCTATATAATGTAATATACAATTTATTAAAATTAGTCCTTATGATTTACCTGTTGCCGTTTATAATTATTTAAATACGATTAAAGCTCTTTATTTATTTTGTGCATATTTAGGACATTTCTTTAAACCCTTAAAACTCTTATTTGAATGAAATTTGCGCTTCACAATTATTGTAGTTCTCTCTAATAACAGTGATTAAAATAATAACCAGGATCCGCCGTCGGCTCTCACTGTGGCCGGTGTGTGACGGAGACTCATGGGAAAGGCTGAGATCTGGTGTGTTTATAGAGGACGAGCCGCTCCTATCCTGATCACTATCTGTGCATCTCACACACACACATTACACCGCAAGTTGTGCTGGTCGTCTTTAGTTTGTTTTCAGGAACCATTTGGGATTGATTCGTTGACTTGAACTGATTCTTAGAAATGAATCAGATTCATATTTACCAAGTCTAATGCCGCTTATAAATCCGAGAAGAGACATTTAGTTACAAAGTATTTGCTCTGAAACGACTCAGAGTCGTATTTTCCATCCAGCAGTCATCCGCTGCTCTTTTCTCCTTTATTGTGCCGTACATAGAGAGAAACTTCAGGAACAGGAACACATGTGGGCGGGGCTTGATTGTGTCTGTGGGAGTTGATTGGATGGTTGTGGTTTGCTATTGGCTGATCTCCTGTGAGTGACAGGTTATAGCTCCGCCCACATCATCAGAGAAGAGATGCTACAAGAGGACGAACTGATTCTGATTGAACATGACTGTGATGTGTGTGTGTGTGTGTGTGTGTTCGCAGGATCACAGTCGCTTCGTGAACTGTGTGCGCTTCTCTCCTGACGGGAACCGCTACGCCTCGGCTGGTGCCGACGGACAGGTGAGACGCTCGGCGCTCTTCCTCATCCTCTCGGTCCCTGACGGACTTTCAGTTCCACTGTCGCCTCTGGCTTTTGTCTCGCTTACTTGAGGACATTTAATTTAATATTCTGCAGCATTATTGATTATTGACAGCATTATATGAGAACTGAACTGAGCTGGACGATGACATCACGGTTTTCTCCAGCGCAGCTATATACTGTATACTATATATATATATATAAATGAACTCAATTAATAACTTTTTATACAGCATAAATGAAGCCTCACTGACTCACTTTACTGCATTATTCTCCTGTAATCTCTGTAAAGCTGCTCTGACACACTCTAGCGCTAATATTTTGCCTCGTTCACTCTTGTTTCTTCCTCCGGTCCAGATTTTCCTGTACGATGGGAAGAGCGGAGAGAAGCTGGGAACTCTGGGAGGAGAGAAGGCTCACGACGGGGGCATTTACGCTGTGAGTGTTGCGCATTAACATGCAGCCGGATCATCCGCGAGTAATGGCACTGACTGCTTCTTAAACACAGTAATCGACCGACTGAGGTCCAGCTTATAGGTTGCCAGGTTGAGATTGTGTATTGAGTGAGTATAATAATGCATTTAATACAAGATCTGGCAACTGGTCAACATTAGACAAACATATCGGTCCGATTATTCATAGAGGAGTTTGGGTCATGCAAATTACGGGACTTTCCCTGGAGAAATAACCAACCGGGAGACGGGGCTAAAAACGTGAGAAACCTGGGAAAAACTCGATCACATGATCAGCGCTCATGTAAACACTGCATTCAGATCCATCAATAGGAATGAGTTCAGTGCGACTGAAACAAAGCAGTGCATGTAAACGCAGCCGGCGTGATGAAGATGAGGATGATGATGATCCTCTTCCTGTGCATTTTAACATTTTAGTCATTACTTACTGAGCCGTCTCACCGCAGGGTTCATTACACACATGTTTTGGTATTTGTACAGCTGTTTTTATTTGTTTGGATATGACTGTTATTTAAGTGTGTGCTACTGTAAAGCACTGTGACCCCTCGTCTGTGAACGCGTATCAGCGTGTGTCCCTCCTCAGGTGAGCTGGAGTCCCGACAGCACGCAGCTGATCTCCGCATCGGGGGACAAGACGGTGAAGCTGTGGGACGTGGCCACCGGGACAGGGGTCACGACCTTTAACCTGGGCTCAGATGTGCTGGACCAGCAGCTGGGCTGCTTGTGGCAGAAGAACCACCTGCTCAGTGTCTCTCTGTCAGGATTCATCAACTACCTGGACAAGAACAGCCCGGACCGGCCCCTGCGCACCATCAAGGTCACACTCATCACTAACACTACTGCTTTTCTGTTAAAGGTGCAGTGTGGGGTATTCAGGAGGATCTGTTGACAGAAGTGCAATATCATAAACATAACTGTGTGTGCAGTGGTGTATAAAGACATAATGAATCGTTATGTTTTTATATTAGCTTAGAATGATCCGCTTCTCTCCACACACACACACACACACACACCGCGGGTCTGCTTGCGTGTCTACGGTGGCCCTGAGCGTTTCGTCACTATGTTAAGCTGCAGCGAGTAAAACACTGATAAACACAATGATAAACGAGTAACAATAATATTCGCAATAACATCGTTTTACTGAATAATCAAGTAAACCTTAATTTATCTTTGTAAAGAAACTGCTAAACTGGCAACTCTCTGCTGTCTCAGACGCGACATCACTTCCTGTCGCCCACCGTAACTTCTGTAGTGTGCAATTCACAACCTCACCACTAGATGCCGCTAACACTTACACACTGCACCTTTAAACAAACACAGTTCTTTATTTAGCTTTGCACTGCAAGCCAGCAGAGACGGTCCATGAGGTGGGTGAGGTTATGAGGTTTGACTAACAGTTTGTCTAATGTAGCTTTCATTAATTTATAATTAAGTTTTAGTCAGTGTAGTACTACAACTAGTTGAAAATAAGAAATGTTGCTTTTGGCAAAGTTATTTATATTTAGTTTTAATATATTAAGGAATGAAAGTGTTACTATGTTTTTAGTTAATTGGAGTGGTTGTGTGTGTTTCAGGGTCACACCAAATCCATCCAGTGTCTGACGGTTCATAAAGCGGACGGCCGGCTGAACATCTACTCCGGCAGTCATGATGGACACATTAATATCCTTCAGCTCAACCTGCTGTCTTCCTGCAGCTTCACTCCAACAACAGAGGCAATGCAAACCTCAGATATGAGACTAAATCAAATTAAGACCAGAGTCATTAATCCAGTGTGGTTCCAGTGTGGGTCCACTGTTTGTCCAGTGTAGTGCCAGTGTATGTCCAGTGCAAGTCCAGTGTGGGTCCACTGTTTGTCCAGTGCAAGTCCAGTGTGGGTCCACTGTTTGTCCAGTGCATGACCAGTGTAGTTCCAGTGTGGGTCCACTGTTTGTCAAGTGTGGGTCCACTGTTTTTGTCCAGTGCGGGTCCAGTGTGGGTCCACTGTTTGTGTAGTGTGGGTCCACTGTTTGTCCAGTGCATGACCAGTGCGGGTCCAGTGTGGGTCCATTGTTTGTCCAGTGTGGGTCCACTGTTTGTCCAGTGCGAGTCCAGTGTAGTTCCAGTGCGGGTCCAGTGTGGGTCCACTGTTTGTCCAGTGTGGGTCCACTGTTTGTCCAGTGCATGACCAGTGTAGTTCCAGTGCGGGTCCAGTGCATGTCCAGTGTAGTTCCAGTGTATGTCCAGTGCAGGTTCAGTCCTGGTTCTGTGTGTCTGTCCTTGACGCTGCGTCTGCACATTACTGGGACTCTGAGACCGGAGAGAACGAGCAGTTCCTGGGGAAGGGCCACTCTAACCTGGTGTCGAAGATGGCGGTGGACGACGCGGGTCGCCTGGTGTCCAGCAGTATGGACGACACCGTCCGCTACACCGACCTGAGCAAGAGAGAGTACAGGTGAGCTGTCAATCACACACAGAAAGAAATCTCATACAGAAGTTATTGGCAGATTATCATTTTCTCATTTTTACTTACAGAACCATATTTTTAATCTGAAACGGGCCTGTGTATTAAGGATAGTTTGCTTCAAAATCAAATGTCTTTAAGAATAAAAAATCAAATACTTCAATGTCAGTGTTATTCTCATATTGTGATGATCTTGTTGAAGCTCATAATGCTTGTGTGTTTGTGTGTGTGTGTGTGTGTGTGTGTGTGTGTGTGTGTGTGTGTTAGTGGGTCTGATATGATCAAAATGGACATGCAGCCGAAGTGTGTGAGTGTCGGTCCAGGAGGCCTCGCCGTCACTGTGTGTATTGGACAGGTACAGAAACACACACACACACACACCTCTCTCTCTCACACACACACACACACACACACTCACACAAACACAATGCCAAATGCAAACTAAAATCTGTGGCTAAAAAAAATTATCAACAAAGTGAGTTTGAGCTTCAAACAAGAACCAGTATCTGCCAATGGAGTCAGAAAAATCACTCAAACTCACTTCACTGATTATTCTTAATAAAACAAGTCTAAATATCTTCAGTCATGTCACTTCTTCTCCAGTAAATGTGTCTTGATTTAAGAATGTTTATATATCAGTGCTGGAAAACGAGATGGAAACACTGAAGAAGAACATCAGTATCTGCTGTGTCGTAGTTCATATTGCCATAAAACACACAAAACAAGTCCTACAAATGTGTGTAGAGGAACTGGTGCTGTGTTGTTCAGTGGTGTTGTGTAGTAATGTGTGTGTGTGTGTGTGTGTGTGTGTGCGCGCAGCTGGTCCTGCTGAAGGATAAGAAGAAGCTCTTCACGCTGGACTCTCTGGACTACGAGCCTGAAGCTGTTGCCGTTCACCCAGGGGGCGGAGCCGTGGCTGTGGGCGGAGCCGTGAGTCACCAATCACAGGCCTTGCAATATTAGCATAACTGTAGCGCTGGTCCAGTCAGAGGTAGGGTTGGGGATCGTTATCGATACCGATTCTGCTCATCGATTCCGATAAATAAATAAAAAACTTAGATATGGTTCACATTGAGTGTTCTTGTAGAGCTGAGACTGTGTGTGAAGATGATGAGCAGAGATACGGGAGCGTTCGCCTGCGGGTTAAACACACCACAACAACCAGCCGAACTAATACACACTTCCAGCATTATTAAACACAACACACACTCACGTATTAAACAAGAGCTAGTGAGAAATTAGCAATCACAGCAAACAGACACAACTGAACACAGAGACCATAGAAATAAACAGTGTATGAAGAGTTTATAAATACAATATTCATTACAAATATAGTTACAGAAGTTATTCAGTGAAGAGCGAGTGTGTGTTCTGTCTTCTGTTGTGTGATTTGTGTTATTATAGAGACGGAGGAATATGAGCGCTGTCCCTTTAAGAGTTGCGGGTCCAGTACACACACACACACACCAAACAGAACACACAGTCTCGAATGCTTTACACTCATGCTGACACACACACACACACACACACACACACACACACAGAGGAGTCGATACGAGGAATCGAGATTTGAAGTGTTGGAGTCCAGAATTGTAAGTGCTGTGCTGAACCCGGAGCCGGTCAGATCGAGCGAGCTCTGATGGTGTGTGTGTGTGTGTGTGTGTGTGCAGGACGGGAAGGTGCACCTGTACTCTGTCCAGGGAAACACCCTGAAGCATGATGGGAAGGTGCTGGAGGTCCAGGGGCCCGTGACGGACATGAGCTACTCGAAGGACGGGGCGTTCCTGGCCGTGACGGACGAGAAGAAGGTCGTCACTGTCTTCACCGTCGCGGACGGATACACGGTACACCCCTCTCACACACACACACACACACTTGTCCACTGTGTCGCTGCCGCTCGAGGCTCAGTCTTCAGGCCTGTGGTGTGTGAGTGTAAGCTGTGTGTGTGTTGCAGGAGAAGAGCGAGTTCTACGGCCACCATGCGAAGGTGGTGTGTGTGTCCTGGTCCCCTGATAACGAGCACTTGGCCACGGGCGGGATGGACATGATGGTGTACGTGTGGACCGTCAGCGACCCCGACAAGAGGATCAAGCTGCCAGGTACTCTCCGTCCCGGCACACTCACACACACACACACACACACACACACACAACGTACATTAAACTCCTTATAGAGCTGGTAAGTCCCGCCCCTTCCGCTGGCCCCGCTGGACGTCTAGGTTGAAAAACCGTCAATGCAAGTGAATGAGAGAAAATAATTATTTTCTAATCCCGTTTGAATTGTGCCATGAATGTAATATATGTTGTCTGTGAATTTTTTTATATAAAGTTTCGTGTAAAGAATGCTGCAATTTAGCGGGAAGAATTTTCATACGGTTAGACTTTGTGTGAGAGCACTTTGTGGACTACAACTCTCTCGACGTGTTTGATATACCCAGTGGTGGAGGAAGAACTGAATCTCAGTACTGAAGTAAAAGTACAAATACCCAGATAAATATTTACTTTAGTAAAAGTAGAAGTAACACAATGACAGCCATACTTAAGTAAAAAGTAAAAAGTACTTTATTTTAAATGTACTTTAAGTATTAAAAGTAAAAGTACTTGCATAACAATTTATTATCTTAATGTCTATTTTCTAATGATAAATAAAACATTTAATTCTAACTCATTCAACCTAATAGCCTACTCCTATAATGATGTTCAATAATGATGGAAAAAAATGTCACCATTTCTGAAACAAGCTTGTAATTAGGCAATATCATGCATATCCTTACTATATGTTAATAACTATGTTTGGCAGTACACGCGATTCATTTATGGTGTAATTCTGAACCTCTTGGCTTGCCATATAACCAAACCAAACATATATTACACACGGTGTGTTTCCTATGCACGTAAAAACTAATTTTCGCGTATGAGTTGCATGATAAACACACTGCGTGTGAGACGCATTTAGAGTGACCGGGTTGATATACTGTATCTATGGCAACCAAACGTCACTGGTGAGACAAACGTGGAACGAACGGACGGTCAGATTACGTTTTGGCCGGGGAAAAACTGATCAGAAAATGTAACGAAAATATAACAGAAGTTGTAGAAATGTAGTGGAGTAGAAAGTAGAATAATTGCTGCAAAATGTAACGAAGTAAAAGTAAAAAGTATGCACTATTTATTCTACTTAAGTAAAGTAAAGATACCTGAAAAATGTACTTAAGTAAAGTAACGAAGTATTTGTACTTCGTTACATTCCACCACTGGATATACATCACCCCCACCAGCACACGGATCCCACTAAACATGCCTGTGTCTTTGGTGAGGACACACTAGTTGAGGTGGTGAAAACCGTGATTTGTGGAGGGAAAATGTGTAATGCGGCGACGTGTAGTCTTTCTCGTTACGTCTATTCCACAACTGCTAGCCAAAGAATCATACAATATACTGTCAAACTCGTTACATGAGAAATTATATCAAACATTCACAGACCACATATGTCACATTCATGGCACAATTCAAGCGGGATCAGAAAATAATTATTTTCTCTCATTCACTTGCATTGACGCTTTTTCAACCTAGAGGTCCACTTGGAGTTTTACGGATGGGCGGGACTTCCCAGCTCTATAGGGTGTCTACATGAGCGCTGATCACGTGATCGGGTCCATGTGTGTGTTTATATGTCATTATGCTATTTCTATGTCATTAGACTTTTGACATTTGGTTGCATGTAAATGTAGCCACTGAGATGGACTTCAGGAAATGACCTGTGTGTGTGTGTGTGTGTGTGTGTTCGCAGACACCCATCGGCTGCATCACGTCAGTGGTCTGGCCTGGCTGAACGCCAACACACTCGTCACGACGTCTCACGACGCCTGCATCAAACAGTGGACTCTGAAAATCTGAGACCAACAGCAACACACTCTCGCTCTCGCTGTCTTCTGTCGCTCTTCCTCTTTTCCTCGTCTGTTCATCACCGCTGCGCTTGCTCTCGCGTCTCCGGCGGGTCCGTGCGGAAGCGCATTCACACCACGTCTGGGAACAACAGCTGGAATTGGGGTTAGAAAGTTGAAATTGTAAAATACTTATAGTAAAATATAACAAAATATTATGTAGAAATTGACATGTCGAGATTATTTCATACTAAGATGGAATCGCTATCAAGTCGAAAATCGCTTAAAGTCATAATTATATTTATACAATTTTTACCTATGTTGGAATTAAGTCATAATTATGACATTTGTCAATTTTGACTTGTTGAAATATAATATACTTAATTGAAATTGTGTAGAAATAGACAGCTGAAATTGACTTGAGTCATAATAATTATGTCACTTTCATCTTTGTCAATGTCAACTTTGTCAATTTCGATTTAAAGTGAATTACGTTTTTGTCAATTTCTACACTTGTTATATCATATTTCAACGTGGTCATAATTATGACTTTTAAATCAAAATCGACATACCAAGTCGAAATTGAAAGTTGGCATACTAGGTAGAAATTTTCACTGAAATAAAATAAACAGTCAAACCTGACTTCATAATTATAACCATGTCTAAGTTGACGAAATCTATATTGTCGAAAGTGACCAAGTCATATTATGACTATCAGAATTATGACAATTGAAATTGATTGGAAATGCTGAAACAGACTGGTCTAAATTGACACCTAGCGGAAATGTACAAACTAAATCAAGTTAAAGTGCTGAATAATAAAGTCATAATTATGACATTTTTGTCTGAGTTGTAATGTCATAATTCTGATTCTGGTGTGGTGTAAACGGGCTTCCGTGAGAGATCAGCAACAGAACAGACATCAAACACTTGACCTTCCAGAACTAAACATGTGACCAGAGTCTGTGTCATGTGACATTCCAGAGGCAGGGGTCAGAGTTCACGAGGTGCGCCTGAACCCTGATGTGGGCTGAGAAGAGAACGTTAGGGAGCAATAATCAAACCAATTGCAGATCGTGTGTGTGTGTGTGTGTGTGAGGTGTGAGAGTGTGTGTGAGTGAGAGAGAGACAGTACATCGCTCTCTTCTAACCCTCCCATGATGTTTATTTACTGTTTTTGTTGGATGTCTCTGGTTCATTTTTCATTGGGTGGATGTGGTTCATAATTATATTAATAATGATAATAAAACACTTTTTATGCAATTTTCCCTGTCAAGTTTCTGTCCTAAAACTGATTCACAGACAGTCCCGCACACTAAAAAACAAGTGCAGGTCATGTTTTCTCCACAGTATTTTTGTCTTTTTTTTTTTTTTTTTTTTCCCCAGTACAAATATCTAATTATTAATTAAAGATGCATTGATTATAGAAAATTACTTCACATAAAAAATTCATCAGAATTAAGTGAGTCTATGATTAAAACAAGAAGAATTATCTGCCTATTGTCACAGAAAAATTGTATTCAAAGTGAAAACAACTGGCGATATGTTTTATTTAACACCATTTAATATTATTATTATTTATTAATTATTCCAGCACAGTGGGTGACGTCAGCGTAACTAAAGCAGGAACTAAATGGCGGGAAATTGAGCGCGAGCGTGTCAAAACACCGAGTAATTATAGCATAATAGTTTGTTTAAACTGACAGGCGTCATTACCGGATCGGAATAACTGAGTTTTGATCATAATTAGCGGTGCTGTAACCGAATGGCCAACTGGTTAAAGTTAAACTATACCAGCAGTCTCCACTCCAGTCGACTAGCTAACATGTTTACATCCTCAAACCTGATAGTTACTAAAGAACGACCAAGATGCTCTTCAGAAGCCGCCGTGGTGGAGCTGTGAGGGTTTCTGAAGGTCACTCATCATCACTCATCATTAAGGTAAGACTCATTACTGCTCCTTCATTAGTGTAGCGGCTGAGGTGTCGGGTTTCAGTGCGTCTCCTGCGGGCCAGCAGAGGGCGCCGCGACACCCCAGTTTACGACTTCAGACGGTTTCATTTCATTTCATAGCATAATCATTTTACCAAAAGTCTATATGGGAAAAATTTGCATGATTTGAGATGTTCCAAAGCCAAATCTTTAACTGCAATGGGTCACACTGCTAATACTAATGTTCTTCCTCAGTATCTCTGTCTCGTTTTCCAGCGCTAATATAAACATAACCGAAGATATTCAGTCTTGTTTAATGAAAAATGTATCAAAAACCCCATTGGGATATTTGCACAAACTCAGTTCATTTTAATCTGTTTTTCATTAAACAGGTCTCATATCTTCAGTGTTGCTTCTCAGGTAAATGTCCTGATTTGAGTGTGTTTACAGTAGGTGTGAGTGCTGGAAACACTGAGGGAGAACAGCATCAGTGTGTGTGTGTGTGTGTGTGTGTGTGTGTGTGCAGTCAGTGACGTGAAGTTCCTAAAGTTTTAAAACACACTCATATTTCATATTTTCAGAGGTTTCTTTGTTTACATGTTTCTTCAGAATCCTGAAAGTTAGAACGAAGAAAATGGAGATACATTACAAATAAGTGAATTACAGTAATGAGACTCACGTGAGAGACACACTGAGCAGACTCATTACACACACACACACACACACACACAGAGAGAGAGAGAGAGAGATAGGCTGACGGATATGAGGTGAGTTTCTTCTGATAAATCCTGCTGTTTGTTTACAG